AAAAGGAGAATACACCTTTTAATAATGAATTAATAATAGTCTTGTAATAATAAAAAGAGAATTTTTTTGAACTTCAAATATTAAACACTTATAGCCCACGTTCTCGATTGGATTTTTTATTAGCAACAGGAGACATCTGGAGACAACTAAAAGCTTGTCTGTTTCATTTTTAAAATCCCAAGATTTAAAATACAATCCAGTCCCCTCTTACTACATTATCTCAGTCATCTTTATCAATTTTTGTTGTTTCACAGTTTTGTATTATTTTTGCCAGTATCATGTTGTGTACTTAAGATACTGTATAGCCATGGGTAAACAAACGGCTTATACAGCTCTATGTGTTTTTATTGCTTCTTAAGTAATAAACAGAAGAAGGGTATGCAAAACCAGCGAACTGGGGAGCTGATGCTAGACTGATCCATGTTTAATCAAAATATAAGTAAAATGAAAAGCCATCTTTTCTTTCCTCAAATTTGGTATTTTATGAGATATAACTACTTTCACCAGTAAACAGCCAAGTTTGAAAATGAATTTATACTATTTCCACTAGGAAAACTCACTAATTAATCACAACCAATAATTTGTTGTTTTTGTGGGTTTTTGAGTTTTCTATCCTAAATTAACTCTTGTCAGTTAAATGCATTCTATTTTTTAACTAACCCACAGATAGAACAAAGGTTACTGTGTCAAACAAAGTTATTGCATGTTCATCAGATGTTCAGTATAGCATGTAAAAAGCAATTGCAAGAGAATATTAGCATAAAGCCAATCGTTTCACCTGAGCAGTTGTCTAGGAGTGGTGTATGGCTATTTTCTTTTGACAATGTTTTATTGACATAACTGAAATGCCCAGCATTTAACATAATATGACCTGCTTTGTTACTCACATTGCAAAACAGGTCATGCCAAAAGGTCTCCAATTATATACTGCTAATTTAGCTGAAGGAAATAGATTGTAAAACTTTGTTTCTTTATTCCCTTTCCAAAAATCAAATGCTTTTGAAGGTGATAAACTATCCCAATCTTCCAGCTGATGCGAAGACAAACATTGAGCCTATTCTAGTAAATGCACTTTTCTTTTATACCACTTAGTCCAAACTAGAAAGGTTGCACCTCTTCTTTCCCAAGCACTTCGCCTGAAATCATTAACTAGGGTAATAATTATGTATCCATTTTACGATAAGTACTATGAATTATTTCACTGTGATCTGACTGGTTAATGCATATTAAAAAGACTTTTATTAACCAATGAGTAACATTTGAGTTGAATCCACAACTACCTTTACATAAACTCTGATACAAAGTAATTAAAATAATTTAGGATTTACAGTCCTTTTGAATTTTTAAATGAGATTTTTATGATAGATATTTTAGCTAGATTTGAGTTTTGAATGCAGAATTTAGAAAGCAAAAATAAATTCTCCATTTCCCAGGCATAGAAGGGCAGGGAACAGATGTATTTATAGTTTGTTTAGGGCCAAGCCATTTTTCACCTAAGGCAATAAAACTGCAGACTTCAGCTCTCCTCTTTTGGCAGAGCAAATGATTTGGAAAATTGAATCTCTACTTTTCTAAAAGCGAGAAAGTAACTTGTTTTTTTTTTTTCATGGCCTCTATTTACTTCATTTAATTCATCAGCTGGGTAAGTAGCTCTGCCTTCAAAAGGGGCAAGAAGGGTAGAATAGACCAAACAAAGGGCTGTGGAATGCTTAGAGGATGACACAGCCCTATCGTGTTGAAGGAGAATCCTCTCTTGTACGTGTGATTCCTCCTCCAGACACTTTGCCTAATGCATTACTGAAATGCTAACAAATGAAGAGGAAAACACTAAGTGAAAATACACAGTTGTTTCCACCAGCTTATCTACTGAGTTTGTGAACCGGATGCCACCCATTTCAGAAAATACAACTTGAGTCTCTAAGGCAAGTAATTCTCCATTTTCCAGTGGAGACATGAAAAAAGTGTGAAAGGGAAGCATGCAAATTATATATTATTAACTTATTATACCTAAGATATCATAACCACCTGAGAAAAAGAAGCTACTGCATGAAACCTGGTGGTGGCAAATGGTCTGAAAAATTTTATGACAAAATCTGTGAAGTACTCTATGCTACAAGGAAGACATTGCTGTAATTTGTAGGCAAAAGTCATCTGTAATGACTTGCATAGATAGTGATTGATCCCACAGAATTTTAAGTATCTTCCACTGTGGTACCTTTATGTCTTCAGCTCTTTGCATTCACCTTAATTCCCCACCACTATTCTTGTACTGTTTTATAACTTTTCTCATGTAGCCGCTGTCTCTACAGTGGAGACAGCCACTGTATTTTTGTTCTGCTGTCATACAGTTATGACAACAACATGGTATAGTCTTCTCAGAGAGCCCTATTTCAATTACAGACGATAGTAATTAAATTTCCCCTTAACCCCTTTTTCAGGGCTAATCAAATCTGGTTCTCTAAGCCTCTCCTCAGATACACTATATGTGCTAGCCTCTTGACTGCCCAGTGGTGCTTTGACAGACTCTTAAGTTTTTTGATGCAATTGATGCTGGAGAGCCTAAAACTGCACAGCATTCCACATCCAGCCTCCTGGGTGCCAAAAATTTTTTAGTTTGTTTAGGTGAGTATTGGATGGATGTTAACAAAGAACCATTTACTGAATCTTGCACCTCATCCTTAATGGTCTTACTCTCTCAACCTTGGTGTCAGAAATTACTAAATCTAAGGACTCATCTGAAAGGAACTGCAAAGTTAATTTTCTTTGCTTCCATTTTATTATGTACATGGTAAAAGGTAGGAATCTATCTTTTGGTCAGGGTTAGCCATTAGTGAATATGCTTTTATGCTTTAGGACTTGCAGAAAGTATTTTCCATTTTGTCTTCAAAAGACCAGACAACATAATTTTTTGCTTCTTCTAATAGTTCTCTATTCTCTAATAGTTCTTCTATTTTTTTTCTGGAAAGACTTCATTTGGTCCACAAATTTGTTGAACTAAGTGCACAACTTTAATAAAAGTGCTTCAGCTGAAGACTTATCAGTGCCAGGTATAGTGGAAGGGTGTCTCCTGTCTTTTTCTTCAGACAATATGAAAAGAAAGAGCTATTGATTTTGTCCCAGAGGCAGTCTGAGTCATGGCTTTGTCAAAGACAGCATTATTATCCAAAAGTTAGTTCAGCTGAGAAATACTTTTTGACCAATTCTACTAGCATCACGATTCCAAAGGAAAATAAGAATGTACAGAACACTACTCATGGTAATTGTGCTGGTGGCTGTGGCAATTTGATGATTTCTTTAAACATCTATCAATCTACTGTGAAAATTAACTCTTACACTAGACATTTTGACTCATGACAAAGAGATGATGCATCATCCTGATCTTCTGATCTTTTCTGCACTAGAATACTTGGATTGAAGTCAGAATTTGATTTAATGCATTTTTTGTAGTAGCAGGAAGCACCTGTAAGAAAGATACAGGTGAAAACAAACTCAGCTGGACTTTTTTCATGCTGTCAGATGTACTAAGGCCTGCTTGTACCTATGGGAAAAACAAGTGAAATAATGTTTTATCGTTTGTGAAGTATCTCATCTGGGAAGAGCTTCAGAACACAGAGATACTGTTCTCATTAGCTCTGAGTGTTCAGAAAGGCTGTTACTGAATAGAAGCCGTGTGTGGGACAAGATGCCTTAGACTTATTGAATGTGTGCATTTTGGTGAAAGTTTGGGAGTCCGTGATGTGGCCAGTACAGCCATTGTGTCAAGTTCTCCACTAAATAAAAGCATTTTGCATGTATATATGTTTTTGGACTGGCAGTGATTATAACATGTATATGTTGTAGCTATTAAGGTAAAAATGGATAGGCTCTGAGGATGGTGTGGCAAAAAAGAAATGTGCACAGCGGTCATAGTTTTAATGTGCATAGAAGAGGTGGAAAAAGAAGATGTCTTAGACTGTATGCAAAGGAAGAGAGTGCTTTGTTAGAACAGGAAGTGGTTTGAGAAAGAAAAGAGGTATAAAGTTATTTGAATTTAGCTGACAGTTGCTGCATTATTGTGTAGATGAGAAAATACAGAAAATGTAGAATTATTCTTAACTCCTCAACATAGCTTTGAATTTCTGAGCTGGTGTTGAATTCTAGTAAGGGAAAGACTACATTAGGGAGATTATGATAGCAGAATAAAGGATTCTTTCTTAGAATACAGCAAAAGTAGGTTAAGGGGAGGGTGTTTTGAGGCAAGAAGGTATCATGAAATAATAGAGCTGTAGGAGCAAAACCAGTGGTGCAGAATCATGTTGTATATTGATGTGGTAATGCTTTGGGCATGTTTCTGTGATATATGTATGCACATACTTATTTAGATAAAGAGCAACAATAATGTCTAAAAAATCATATAATAATACAATATGTATATTACTATTAAGTTATATGAAATTTAAAACATAGAAAAAAATAATATTTGATTTATAATAATATAGCATATTACAGTAACGTGATATGTAATAAGGTAATTCCAGTACCAGCCAAAAATACTACTACTACTATTCATGTAATGAATTTGTTTAAATACGGGAATCTAGTCACATAGATGTAGAATTAGTTAGTTTAGTAGTTGGGGCATTTGTTTCTCTACAGTGATACACATCTTTATGGAACCTCTTGTCACAATGACTTAATGAGTTTCCACTAATAAGTAACAGTTTTTATCCCTATAAAATTTCCTCCTTTGGGCAAATATTCACTGTATAGGTAAGGTTTTGTGTGATTTGATATTTTCTAATGCTTTGTAACTCACTGGTGTATTGCTGCTCCTTCTCAAATGTCTTGCAATGCCTTTAATTCTAGGAATCGGCAAGTAGTTTTACGTTTTCAAGGACAAGACGATGTTGTGTAGTTGGCGTGTTGTAAGATCTATATTCAAGCTTGCAAAGAAAAAGGAGTGTGTCTGTGTCCCGTTGTGTAAAGGTGCCATCTAAAAATAAACTTTGTTCTAATTGCAGAAAGCCACATTCTTGAGGATGTAAACAATTGCATCATTGCATTGAGAGAACAAAATGTTGATGATTTAGATCGTGCAGCAGGTGCGATCCGAGGGCGCGCTTCAAGAGTAGCTCACATTGTTTCGGGTGAGATGGACAATTATGAGCCGGGAGCTTACACTGAGGGAGTCATGAAGAATGTTCAATATCTGACAAAGACTGGTAAGTCTGATTGGTAAACTATATTTTCCCTTTCTTTAGTGGTATATAATCTTTTACACCCCATATTTAAAATGAACTTATCCTGTGATTCTCTGATCTCATGCACTAATTTTGCTCTAATGATTTACTTATTTGTCTCTCAATAAACTGTCTGGATTAGGATGATAACATGCATCCAAAATTAAATTTCTTTATAAGTGTAAGCATTTTTAAACTGGGAAAGGCCTGTGCTGGAGGTTTTAAATAGATGCAAGTAACAGTGCTTAGAAGACTTGTGTTTAATGAGACAGCAGCTTTAAGCTACACTACTGGTCTCACCACACTTGCTTTAAGCAGATGAAAGGTAGATGCACTGGTATCCTGAGTCTAGTTTAGAAATGTGTGTACAATGTGAGTGAAGCCAAAATGTGTTTGTAGATAGCAGAAATTGTTCTTGGAGATAAGAAAGTTGAAAGTTTAAATTAAATGAAAAGCAAATTTCATTTGTCTTTGCTTACAATTTCGAGTAATAGTTAATAGTCTTAAGTTAACCTCTGGCCTTTTAATAATGTATACCAATTAAAAATTATCTGCGGGGTTCCTAGGACTTCCATATTTTCAGTTACAAGCCTTTTATGTAATTGGGAAGTTACAAAAATAACCCACAACAAGTTCTCTGAAGAATCTGTGCACCTCTAGAATAAGATTCAGCTTCTGGAACTCAGATGTCTAAATCTAAGTTCTGGCAGTGCAGGCAAATTTCTAATATGTTAAATTTGTCTGACATTTAAAATTTGACTGACCTCAAGACAGGAGTTCTGTTTGATCTCTTAAATCAGTTCAAATAAGTCCAAGGTAGAACTGCTTTCATGTGAAACCAGAAGAATTTGCATGCATGAAGTGGAAAAAGGGGCATGTATTGAGAAGCATTAGGAATAAACTTGCCTGTTCTTTTATTTTCTTTCTGACATTTTGATGAGAAAATTTGAGAACCTTTAAGATGACATTCTTTTTTTCATAAGCTCTGAAAGGAACGGACTATGACAAATAGTAGGGCAAACAACAGTGGGAGAGCGCAGTCTTGGTTCCATGTTTCTTGAAATTGGGAGTGTTTGAACACATGGGGAATTAACAGTGATTCCTGCTCTGCTGCGTCGTTGTGACAGAAATAGGTAGTACCTCTACATTTACGTACCTACATAAGACAGGAAGATACAGAACTGCTTTTGGTTGGAATATTTGGTTGTGTCAAGGCACATCAAACATAGTGTTGTTTGTTCAGTTTTCTTTGCAGTAGTTTAAACATCAGAATCAAGTATCCTTAAATTATTCAATAAGAGTGGAAAAACAGAAACATGCACTCTTCATTGTTATCCTTAGTTATATGATCTACAGTGAACAGACATCAAATCATAAGAGTGCTTTCTATTTTAAATCATTTTAACTAAAATGGAAAATGTAGGATTGCTGCAGCTCTCGGGGTTTAACCCAATGCATACTATAATAGCTGGACCTTTTAGACCGGAGCCAGCTGATGTGAGAATACAGTACCAGAGTTTGTCAAACACAGGCATTTGTCTCAGGCTGCTAAAATTCCCTCTGTACATGAGGAATTGCACTGCTATTTCATTTTTGTCTTGCTGCATAGAGATGTGGGTGTAGTTGGGCCTCAAAGCTCCATAGTAGGCAGTAGCCCAGAAAGAACATTTTGTTACCAGGACAACATTTGCTATATTAAACAGTCATTTCTCACCATCCTGGAAGCAGAAACAGTAGTTATGAAGGAAATATCAGGAAGGCTGTGTTTTGTCTGAGAGTCACTAGTTGCAATATGGTGAATTAAGGTATTCTAGAGTAAATTATTATTTTACAAGTGAGCAAACAATGTGCAAAAAGGAAAAACAGCCCATTAATAAAACAGCATAAGTGCCACATGTAGTAATAAAATTTAGCTGCAGTTTTAGAGAAAGATGCTTGGGTTTCTAATACATTGCCCTTAAACAAGTTACCGAGTTGTGTTTCACTTTCTGCCAACTTACAGGCTTATTGATGTCAAATGATTACTTACTGACTTTTGAGATACTATTTACTAAATACTAAAAATCCTACTACAATCTTTGTCTCTTTTAATTTAGTACAGTGTCGGTAACACTGTATTCCAGTGATGAAAGTTTCTGTTATACCATTTACACCTGGGATTTCATCGTTTAGGACCTCGTGTCCAACACACTTAAATCAATAGAACGACATTACAGAATTTACTCATTGACTTTTCTGGATGATGTCTCAAACGTTCAAGCCTTTTATTTCTTCTGGGCATTAACAGCATTCTGCGACGTTTCAGTCTGTGTTGTCTTACTCTTTTTCTTTAAAAGATAAAGCTAAACTATTTCAGAAGATGTACTACTACTGATCATGGCTTCTTTGTTATGTAATAAATATGAAATCCCATTCTGATTTGTGCTCTGCGGTAGGCAGCTACAGCAAATTTCTCTGCGAGGCCTTTGGTAGAGTACCTAGTCCAAGAAAATACACAGAAAACAAAAGCTAGCTAGCCCTACACTGGCTTGTTGTTGACTCCAGCTAACAAGTTGATTCCTTTCCCATCTTCATGTTTAAAAAGTAGCTATATTTGTTACTAAGTGTCTCTTAAACTTCACAAAAATCTATCCAGAATTGTGATGCTTGGTTTTCCCCATGTATATAAATCTATCTGGACCCTCCTGCAGTCCTAAGGACATATAGTTATTCAGTATGACAGGAAGCAGTACCTGTGTTGTCTTTATGTCCCTTTAAAAGTGTGCACATTAGCCACAATATTAATGTAAAACTCCAGGCATCTTTATCTAGCAATGGAACCTGTTCCACGGCTTGATCTGTGCTGAGGGTATTGAGGGAATGTTGTTACCTCTTCATCATGCTGCAATAACTCCTCAATGTATATGAGTGTGAAAGTGCCTGTGAATAACACAGTTCACCTCTGATGAGACATCACATGATTAGCTCCTCACTGTTCAGAGGACCTGTCTTTCACTATGGGTATCTTTACCATCATTTTCTAATTCATGGCAAGCCTTTGCCCCTTGCATTGTAGTTATTTATTTCCCCTGTAGTTTCTTATATCTACCTTTCCCCTTCTGGTAACATTTTCAAAGAACTTGAGCAGATTAGAGAGACTCACTTTTCACAAAGAATGCCTTCAGATATTATAATGCTAGAATTATCCAGATGTTCTCAAATGTGTCTTCAGCGAGGTTTTCTTGCTCTTCCCCCATCTCTTTTTATTTTATTTTTTTTCCTTTGTTTGGCAACCAGATAAGGTGAAAATGCTCATATCTGTTTCTCCATATATGTTTTCTTACATTTTGTGTGTGTTTTCATTTTATTTTTTAGAGACAGTATCTTAGTGATGTTCAAATTTTCAGGAATAGTACCTGTATTTAGATATTTGTTCTGTGGTTTGGGTACAAGGCAGACACTTGGATTATGATGTGTGCATTTATGATAATGTTTATAAAGGCTTTATAGGCAAATATGTTCATATCTAAAATGAGCTTTTGCTTAGTGGTACAAATACAATAGTATAACCCATATGTCTGCCATTCAGAAATCATCTTCACATAGCCATTTAGCTTCTTTTACAAAGTCCCTTTTTCAGGATGCACTAGTATGTGTCCATTTACTTCAGTGAAGTCTGAGATTTGCATTACCTGAAGGTCCATCCTGCTGCATGTTTTTCCACTTAAACTCTTTTCAAGACTGCATTTGTAAAAACAATTGACAAGAGATTAAAAATAATGTCTGCATCTCTATAGATAAGTCAGTATGTTTTTTTCTAGCACAAGTTGCTGTACAGGTAGATTTTCGGATGAGAATCTGATTTGTCTATTTAAAAATGCAGTTAGTTTTCTTTGACTTTCCAGTAACAAGAGCTCAAAGATAGATACCTCGTGCATTGATTTTTTTTCTGTTTTTCTTGTTCTACATGGCTTTCCACAGCATATTTGCATGCTTAAATTCAAATAACTTTCTCATTCTCCAAGTGAGAACAGTGCCTTGCCATATTCCATTCACTGTAAGCTTTTAATAGCATTTTTAGTTAGAAAAGAAATCAAGTGCTTTGTATTAAATACAAACAAATAATGCTGTCAATCCTGACATAAATTTGAAGAAAAAACTGTGAAATTCACCCTGCTATTAATTGATGACATATTCAAGTCCCAGGTAGGGAGTTAAAGGTTAAAGGTCAGTTAATGAGTCCTTAATATTCCTGCAGATTGCTCTCTAGGTAATCAAATTAAGAGATTGCAGTATCTCTCCCTTTCTCTTTTCTGCCATGTATATGAATATGTATATGCATTTACACATAGCATTTTTGTGTATGAGTAGAAAATTGGGGATAGAATTTAAAGATGGCATAGAAAGTATTACAGTCTTACTTAAAGTAATTGAGGCCAGTCCTTTACAGTTCTGAAATTGTATTCCATCAGGCAAAGGGTAAAAAAATATATATATGTTTGTTTATTTTACCACTGTGTTTACCTCCAGCCATCATATGGCGTCTTAATGTTATGTAGCAATCGGTGTAATTACAAACAACCCAAATTATCCCAGCAGGACATTATTTTGTAGCTTTTCTTTGTTATCACCGGAAGTTGGAATGCTTTTGGGGGTTGTTCTTTAGGAGCTTCATTTGACTTTGGTAGGATGAGAAGGTGCACTAAGCTTTAAAAGACCAGGACATACAGGCCAGGTCAATGCCAGCCTTTCACTTTTAGGATGAAACAGACTGAAGGTTTATATTGCAAGTGGTCCTAGAAGAGCTAAGTGTGTGAGTGTGTGTGTAAATCCACTCCTTAGTCATGGTAATATTGCATATAAAACCTTGGCCAAAAACTGTCTTGTGCATGAGAGGAATATGTTCAGTATTCCAGGGTGTCGGATTCCCAAATCTGTATACTCCAATACAATCCTCAACTTACAGACTGAAGTGAGCTTTCAGTTTGAGCTAATGTATGGTA